TAATAGCAAAAGCAGTTCAGTCCTTTGTTAACAGTCAACAAATCCATGTTTAAGCCTCCTCTTGAGGGGCAAAAGGTTATCAGACACTTACTCCTCGCACGTCAGCGGAAAGTAGGCTACATTTCATGGTCCTTTCAATAAAGTGATAAAAATAGTAGGTCAGCGCTGAAACAAAACAGTTTTGCACTCGGTCCGTTAGACCATGTCCTCAGAAAATGTCTGATGTCTGACCTTTCCCCTACTGCCCTTTGACCTGTGACCGCCAATTTCGCGCTGGTGATGGGTTTCCTCCCCATCACACTAGCTATACATCGAATATTAAGAGCGTAGGTCGAGCCGTTGAGATTTGTGCCGCAATTCCGCATTTCCTCCTATACCTTAAGTTAAGGGGGAAATATTCTCCCTCCATTAACGCATCTTGACCTTTGACCCCCTAAATTCGACATCCTGAGTCCTTTTCGCGATCCCCCCCGATGTCCCGAATGTCAAAACCATACGTCGAGCGGTTAAGATTTGTGCCCAACTGTTGACGGACGGACAGACGCTCATGCGATTCTACAAGCTGCATCTGACTTCGTCAGCTGAGCTAATAAATATGGTGCAATCCATAGAAATAATACACTAGTTAGACACTATAGTGTCTCTATAGGTTTCTATGGTCCAAACCCACGTCCCGAAAACACTCGTTTCCCTGCAATTATACCAACTGACTTGCTTATAAATCTAAAACTACATTAAGCAGATTTAATAATCGTGGTTTGGGTAACATCATTATTTATGTATTTCAGACCTAAAACCCAATTACGTATCAATAAACCGAGACTAGATATACAGTCAGGTTTTCGCATCTACTAGTTTTCATTTTTATTTTTTACCAACCAATCCTTACAATCTCTCAAAAACACATTATATGCCGATGACACAAAAGTGTTGGTTTAGATTTTAGAACGTAACTCATACACGATATGTGCTTCAGCGACAGTTAGAATAATAACAACGATACCGGATAATCTGACCGACTTGGAAGAATATGTATGAATCTCTCATGTAATATTATGAATACTATCCAACCAACGACAATAACTACTTTGATACCATTACTGATAACGTTTATAAATGCACGTACAAAAGAAATATCATATTTCTCTTCGGCACTTCTTATTTATATAGGTGTAAAAGGCATAATGCACACCTATATATAGCTAGTACACGTTCACAAGTATTACGTGGAAAACACATTCGAATAAAAGCCGATAATACACGATATAAACGTGAATTTACTGGGTCACGTGAAACGAAGACGGCAATTTCTCCCCGAGAAAATGTACAAAAGACAAAGTAAAGTAATGTACTAGCAAATGCATCACACAAGCTGATTAATCTCACCGGAAACTACAAAATCCCACATGACGACAATATTATCATACAAAATCAAAGCTCACGAATACTAGCAAGGATGTATACAATTTTAATACCAACTCATGTATATATACAGTGTTTAGCTATGCCAGTCCATAACGAAAAACTCGCTCGAATAATACAATTTAAGATTCTTACATATTTCATCTGACACACCGTGGTTTCAGTAATTTCCTTCAATACTTTATATCGGGTCTGATTGTCGATATTTCTAAGCATTTGCATTTAGTAGAAATTGCCACCCTACTGCAGCATTTCATGTCTATTTGAGTAGCTTACCGATTTACATTACGACAGTAAAAAGGTATGCATTTAGCAAAAAAACATTAAAAGACATGTTTGTTGAGAATTATGACCTCCTAAATAACAAAAAATCGATGATCATGGATCCGATATGCTATAAGATACATACTCAATACAGCACATATTAAACGTACTATGCGTGTAATAGATTCTATTCAATTATGCATGTAAGTAAGAATAGTCGAGTCGCTATAATTAAAGTCTATTTTAAAATCTGTATCTACAACTAATGTAATACATGGCAACCTAAATACCAATAACATTCGTTACCCTTGGCATCATGTTTGGAATGTTGAATATTAATCCTAAATACGAAATATAGACCTGTTATTCAGATGGAAAACTGGACGCCTAAAACACGCAATTATCACAAAAATATTATATTCTATATAAGCAATCAACGTACACAAGGGTCAAAAGTATAATAATAATAACAATAGTAGTGGAAATAATAATAATAACAATATTGACCACAAACCCGCCTAAGTCTGTTAATTAGTGATTAATTACAGATTTCAGTGTAACCATGCTCTTATACACACAGGCTTTGTTCTACGTTTATATCTGCATGATCTGAAATGCAGGGTATTAATGTTCACTTCTTCTTCACTCATGGTCCTCAACCAGCCACTTCTTCGGGGCGTCACTAAATGACTCCGGGAAAGACAGAGCATGCTCCACTAGCTCATAGGACAGCTTTGGATCGGCAAGTCCATACCTGAAACAGGAAATCCCCCAGTAGCAAGTTCAGTTATCAAGCATTGAAGTACACGCTCAATGAGACTGCACGAATGTACCCAGAACGAGCATGTATCCAGAATTAACGAAGCCAAGTAATGTTTTCAGTTCAAATCAGTGGCCATTGACAAGTATCCATCTTGAAAAAAGTATACAAACTGTACGCCTTGTGTGTATGAGAGAGGGGCGAGAGCCATTGTACTTATCGTAATTATAAATCACAAAAAATTCGATTTTTCTAATACACATTCACGAAAAAAATTACCTAATGCCGATTTATACTTTCTCGCAAAATTGAAAATATCAAAATTTTATACTAACCACTTCGGGGGGAAAGGGTGCATAAAAAGCTGTGTTGTCTGCATGCTTACAATATAGTCAAATAGTGTTGATAATCGTGTACAACCATCCGCTTACCAGAACACGATCCATTTGCCATTGCTCCAACTTCCCTCGCTGCGCTTGAAGTACCATGGGTTGATGTTATTCACATGACGTGAACGCCAGCAGAGAGTGTGATAGTCTCTCCTAACACACTCCCACAGCATCTCGGCAGTGCCCTGACCCTGTTAAACGCACGAATGACCGATAAGTGTGGATACCGATTGTGGATACCGATTGGCGCCTCGGTGGTCTAGTGGTTAAGCTAGTGGTGTTGGGTAGTTGGGATTTGGTAGGAGGAGAAGAAGAAGAAGAAGAAGAAGAAGAAGAAGAAGAAGAAGAAGAATAAGAAGGAGGAGAAGAAGATGGAGGAGAAGAAGAAGGAGAAGAAGAAGGAGGAGGAGGAGGAGGAGGAGAAGGAGTAGAAGGAGAAGGAGAATAATAAGAACCTATATTTGACTGCAACAGATATTGACAAACTAGAAATAAAACTGGCAAAAGACCAAATCACTGTAATGATATAGCATAATATGCAGAGCAGTGATATTCAATTACAGAGTTAGATTCACTGTCACCAAAATCAAAATAAACTCAACTGTATATCAGAAAGTAAGACTTAACCTTATGTTATGTTCTATATCATATGCATTGTTTAGGATTACACAACAACAAAAATATTATTGTTGAAACTCAGAACCAAATTTCTATCACATCCAAGCAAATCACGGTTTGTACAGACAATAAAAAAAGATTTTAATACCTGATTTTGAGCAGTGACAGCAAACTTGTCCATGTATGGCACACCAAAACCGTCCTCTTTCGTAACAATGGCAGCAGCGTTGTATCTGGAAGAACCACCAGCAAGAAATCATAAAAGGTCTTCTTTCTGTGCACACATTTCAAGCAGAGTTTTAAAGGTATCTGTGACTACATTCCACGTTCATAGTGTGGTTAGGTGTCATTTTTTACACCTGTCCTTGTGTTCCACAGCTTGAGAACAGATATGGTTCCATATATGGTTCTGCATAACCGAATTCTGATAACTGTTACTGTTAGCTATCTAGTTAGTTTGGAAATCGCTCAAAATATTGCTTGCAGCAGTACTTCTAGTATAGTGTGACACAAATGAATCATATGAGAATTTTAAACGGTGCCAGAAAAGGTGACCTACCGATGCTGCTCAGTACAGAATTTATTATATAGGATTAGTGGTTAAATCAAGAAGAAGGAATCAAACTAATATACAATTAGTGCCACAGGCTTGTTTGTCACTATATATAAGAGCATACAAATGGTGACACTTACCCCTCGGAAAGGTAAAGTGTTTCCAGTCTGCCTTTTATCTCTTTAAAATAGTCTGGTTTGAGTTCCCGATTAAACGCCCTGCAAGTAATAAAGGCGGCATCAATATGTGACAGTTGCATTTGTCACATTACAATTTCTCAACATTGAAGTGAGATTTTAGCTCAGAAGTGAAGTGTAGTACTCATTGTTTGTATCCTTAAATATTTACCCTATTCAGTGTGTACTATGTAATGGGACACTGCTCTTGTAATACAGCCAGTGAATAGAAATACCTACGTTTTGCCAGAATCCAAACAATGTCTCTCAATATTCGAGGTTTTGAAAAAGACAAGTTAAATTGCACTAACCTGGCAAATAGGTGGGAGAGTTTTCCGATGTCAACATCGTCAAGGTTGTCATACTGAATGATTCTTTCAGTGTTTTTGAACATCGTTCCTGAACCTGTAACCATAACGCGCAATAATAATAAAACAGATTTCCTAATTTGATAAAGTATGCAATCATTAGCACCAATTATTAACTTATATCATACTTACAGTCTTTTATGACTACAAAAGTGTGAAATTCAGATAAATTCTGAAATTACATTTGGAATCTAGTTGTAAAAAATAAGTCTTAATTACATATATCTTGAAAGGCTGAAAGGCATAGTGTATTTCAGCTCTCACTTAAAATCACAGGATATTGCCTGTAGAATGATTTATTACAATTGTGGTATTCACATAACATGAACGAAATGATTTCACACACTTCTAGCAAACACTGGCAGTTCCATACATACATGTGCTTTGCCAATGAGCAGGAATAGAATACTTTCAAAGCCAAAAAATAGTGTTGTTGTTTGCTTATTTGACATTCAGGGGTCAGTCGCATTAGAGAAAAGAGATCATGATCACGAAGTGTAGTTAGGCTGTCTGAGGTGGCATGATACAGGTTTAATTGTAGCAGAATATAAATAATGCCCCATACTGCAACTATGCATCAGTAGGTCCAAACCACTTAACAGGTTTATATTTCAGCATATTTTTACACAATGTATTTCAGTGTATTGATTTTTTAAAGTGAGCGTTTCTGTGCCTTCACGCGACAATAGCTGCGTTCACACGAGGATTTCTGTTCCGTATTGAGCGTTCACACGCTAAAAATATTCAAGACTTATACGCGGCTTATTCGGCACCGTACTGAAATACGCGGCTTATTCGGCGCGGAATCACATTCCGCGCTAAAACATTCGGCACCACGCTGGCCGAGTATTGATTGTCGTGTGAACCTAGACTGCTACCCGTTCGCTGCACGACGTTAGGGTAGCGTGTGGAACTGTCGACTGGGTACCAGTCTATATTATACCTAGCCAGCTAAGCCTCGATTCTCGTGTGAACGCTGCGGGTTGTGTTAGCACGGTATTTCAGCCGAATTCAGCACCAGATAAGTACGGAACCAGCGAGGCAGTGAATCTCGTGTGAACGCAGCTACTATTACCTATATATAAGTATATAACAAACCACGGTGAGTGAAGAGTTCTTGGAGCACCCTATCTGCTGAAGTGATTACTACAGAACTTTTATCAGGCAGGTGATCCAACAGAATTGAGATGGAATACAACTAAACAGAAACAAATACAATACTATAGACATACTGAATGTATAAGTAAATATATCAGAATATAATAATTATATAGTAAGAGATAATATATAGTACAAATATAGATAATATATAGACTATATATAGCAGGGGTAGAAATTAACTTTTGAACGTTGGACTCCCTGCCCTCAAAAAGAGGGAGTCCGCGGCAAAATGATGGAGTCTAGTTCAAAATTAAAGATATTAACAATAACGCATGTGCTTATTTTGAAGATTCACACGGTTGCACGTCTGCCAAATTTTCTTTGGACATTGGCTGAAAAAATACGGTAATTCCATGAGGCCGTGCTCTGGAATGAACTAGTTAGTATGGCAGAATTTTCAGGGAGTCACACGGACTCCTGCATATGTCAAATCAGGGAGTCCGGCAGTAAATCAGGGAGTATTTGACTCCGGACTCCCATTAATTTCGCACCCTGATATAGTATAGAATATAAGTATTGTATATATTAGTATATAAGTAACATGAGAACTATATGAAACTAATACAGATATGTGTATACGTGATTCTTATAACGACCGTGTAGCTTTGTCCATAAATCAATAAAAACAGGTGTGGAAATACCCCAACTTCAGTACATAGAAACTGCATAAAATGTTAAGGACACCACCGATTTCAAAATGCTGTTGAAAAAATGCTAGATCATAATACAAACTTATCTACACACCACATTACCACCAGCCACGCTTGTTGCTTCCACGTTGAATGCATGCTGCTTCACGACTAGCAAGACCCATTCTCTTAAAGCTATCAGCACACTTCACCATTTTCGTTGCTCGTACAGGCAATTTTCGTGGTCGGCAATTTTTGCAGCCAGTTGCTTCTAGTCGAGTCGGCTCGCAAGCCCGACATAAGCCCCTCTTAAGCGGGCAGCACACTTCACCATTTTCGTTGCTCGTACAGGCAATTTTCGTGGTCGGCAATTTTTGTGGCCGTTGCCGCGTCACAGCACACTTTACCACAAGTTGCCACCACGAGCAATTTTCGTGGTGAGAAATCAAACCGGTTTGATTCTCGGCAACTCGTGGTCACCACTAAATTTCCGTGGTGAGTGGTCGCTGCCGGCCCCCGCACACTTGGCCATTTTTGTGGCGACCACGAAAATTGCCTGTACGAGCAACGAAAATGGTGAAGTGTGCTGCCCGCTTAAGAGGGGCTTATGTCAGGCTTGCGAGCCGACTCGACTGGAAGCAACTGGCTGCAATTCACTGCGACTGCAGTGCTTAGGTCGGTCGACTGCGACGCGACTGCCTGCGACTGGCCGCCACTAGTTGCTCGGAATAGAACAGTGGGCAACTGGACGCAACTAGTCGCTGCCGATCGCTTCCAGTTGCTCGAAATCCAGTTGCTTCCAGTCGAGTCGGCTTGCAAGCCCGACATAAGCCCCCCTTTACAAATGCCCTAGGCACGTGAAGATTTGTTGCATGCGACAAACACACGCCTTACTGTGAATAGTTACAACAAGAGCCGCAGAGCGTCTGGGCTCATCTGACGTCGGTTATAAACGTAACATTTAAGTCGTGCGTAGTGACACCTTTGTTAGGCGCAGATATGCAGATACGCAGTTGCGTACACATCATTTCAGCAAACATTTTCCTCTCTCTCTCTCTCACACTCTCTCTCTCTCTCACCCTCTCTCTGCTGTACGTAAAAATGCACGTACCCATTCCTTCACATCCTCCGTAGATCCTTCGAGCGGTAGCATCTGGTCTAAATCACTGGGCATGTTCACTTGACTAATAACCTGTAATTCAAGGATAGTGCGACCACCACTGTAGCGCATGTCACTAAGCAGAAAAGAAACTCACTGTTTATCGTTATTGTGCTGCATATTGTTAATTCACTGTTTTCACGATACACCATACGGAAAACCGACTAACAGGATCTAACAGCGACATCAACACGGGACAACTAGGGAAAGCAGAGTACAGATGACTCTCTGCCTGTACCGACCACCCTCAAGACCATCCATTTCTCTCGGTTTCCTGTAAAGTTCGATTTATGAGGGGGAGGGGGGTATCATACATGTTTCAGGTGGCACTGGGACAAAAACCGTCCGATTTAACACGAGATTCGTTCAGAATTTGGAGAGTTGACTGTGGAAGGTTTCGAGAATCTAGACGAAAGCGTTACAAGCTTCGCCAATTTAAAATTGTCTCGCATGATATATATTACACATATTACGTTTTAAACGGATTCAACGGTTTAACGTGAGATTTGGTTTTGAGGGCGGGAATTCGGAGAGATGAACCCTACGCGTTGTGCGACCGACGCAGTGGTAGCTGCACTCGCGCGACACCTACACGGTGATCCGAGGTGGTTATGCCGCCGGCTGCGTTAAGCATCAGCACTTTCCTCGGCTGCAGCGCGATCGAGATTTGTTGCGTCGTCCTGAGAACGTCCAAGTCTAGCAGCTGGCCCTCTTCTGTCTCACCGATGCTATACAGCACCGGTATGTGGTCAGACCTGCGATCGCAGCAGATCACACGTTTATTACGTGCGCCGCTCGATGTACGGTGATCATCAAATATTCCTCTTAAAAACCTCATGTAACTCCAGCACATGCTTACCTATTCGTATAGGACTTACGTGGAACTATTTAACTATTAAAAAGTTATTTTTTTAACACTGTTTATTACGTGCGCTGCTCGACGTACAAAGCGAGCATAAAGTTTTCCTCTTAAAAACCTTATGTAACTCCAGCACATGCTTACCTATTCGTATAGGACTTACGTGGAACTATTTAACTATTAAAATTAATTCATTTAATACTGTTTATTACGTGCGCCGCTTGATGGACAAAGCTAGCATTAAGTTTTCCTCTTAAAAACCTTACAAAACCCTTTCAAATGCTTACCTATTCGTTTAGGATTCAGGTGGAACTATTATAATGCATAAATTAAGCTATAATGAGAAGACAGGTAGGACGTCATCATCATCTTACCTGAGACACCATATAATTGGATCTACATTCACGCCTTTCAGTTCCCCAAGCATGCCAAACCTAGAATATTATCAAAAAAGTTTTTAACTAATAAAACAGATTGCTCTAGGAGTATTTCAACCAACTAACTGTAATCATAAATAACTCTCCTGTGACATAACAGTAGCATTAGAAAAGACAGTGTATCTGTGATATGTACTGATGTTTAGAATATCATAGTAGTCAACAAATGCTTAGGTAACATGGGCCCGTGGTAGCACACATCCGTCCCTACCAAAGAGAAAACACCTTTTGGTACCTGTTCTGGTGCGGTTTCTCTGCCAGCAACATCCTGTTTCCACTGAACAGGGGCCTTGCCATTGTTCCATGACACTCTAACCCATTGACTAGCATCATTGTATCAGAGATAAATTTCCTCCTAGTTTTCTTGAAAATTAATTTGAAAATTTATGATTCAAATAAGCATCCAGAAAAAAAGTTAAACCATTTGCAAATATCACATGTTGATGTACCTAAAAATTACATTAAGAGTATGAATGTAATTTTAAAAGTATTTAAGTAAATGGGTTAATTCACAATTAAGCAAAACTAACTTGTCATGAAATAGGTTCACTGCATATGTAATAAACTGAGAGCAAAATAGGTTTGCATGTAAATGTACGGCTATATGCCTAATGCCATATCCTCACCTGGGAATGTTCATACGATATATCTTCCCCGTGTGAAATTCTCTTTCCATGAATTATTACTGGTTTCATCTTATTACGTTGCAAGAAACTTAAACTTGAGCATAGGTCACTGAGCTGCAAAAAACAGGAGTTTGAAGTATTACTACAATATTAGTATTACTTTAACGTTATTTATAATAACACTGCCCACTGGTTAATTTGAGTTGCTGTTCCCTAAATCATGTCTGCTACAATGAAGCAAGGCCATGCACACACAAACAAGCTACCTTCTGACTACGAGTTCACAATGTATTATCACAGTTCACACCAATTAATCAGAACACAACAGCAACTAGCTTAAAGCACAATTACCAGCTCGATGTTGCCAACATATAACAGACTTAACTCGCCACAGTAGTTGGATATACTCGTGTTTGTCTGCACTTCACAGCTCAGAACAGTTTGTTCCTTTAATGATCTACAAAGCACCCGTACCTTATCTGGCCTTTTGAAAACTTCTTCTTCAATCATTACTACGCAGAATGGCGACAGAGGATCCTTAGAGCACTGGAAATGCTTCATCCAGTATCGCACCTCCTTCGGGTCTTCCCCAACCTGAAATTCCATTTTTATAGTGTGTCAGATTCGAAAGTTACGATCTTTAGTTTCTTCTGTAGCTACGTATAATTAATTTTAACAATCGTTCATGCGTATTAAATAACCTAAACAAATCTATATTGTATTACATCTCAAGAAAACTATCATTAAGAATGTGTACACTAAAGTTCATATAGTTAAAAGAGTTGTATGTAATTTGTTTCATCTATAATAAACATCATGAATGCGTTTTGGATGTACTACATATCACCGGGGTAGTATAATGACAAATTTGTCATTATTCACTGCCGATATTACATATCAACATGACATTTATACACATACGGTATCGAGAAATCTCTTCAAGTCATGCATGTTATCGCCATGCATGGGCTGATAGTTTGTGGGGTTCGCCAGGTACATGCGTCGCTGCAGACCAATCTCAAATGACCTCATGCTCAAGTTTAAGTTCGTAGAAGCACTAAATCAAAACAGAAGCAGATACAACTGGCAAAAAATGCAGGGACATCAACTATAGAGTATAAGTGCTGCATAACATAGACCAATGGCATATTCTCAAAACACATCACTATTACAAGAACTTTCCATGCACATGAAAATATGAAAATGACAAATTATTTATACTTCCTCATCGTTTTCTTATTTGACAGGAACCACAGAAACGATAATCGCAAGAAAAACACTTTATATAAGATATAGGCCTACGATATAAAACGGCATTTTTCACAAATCATACCCTAGCATTCTCTTACCTCCCTGTGGTTTTTAACTTTGGCCGAGATGCCCTGGAAGAATCTCTCAGCTTTTTAAGAACGCCCATCTGAAAAATCCTATTATGGCTACTGAAGGAAGAACACCAAACTCGACCCTGTTTGAAAGGGCTGATGAAAGGCAATGCTTGTCCAGCCAATTTTTCCATGCTTGCTCTGTAATGTTGGTTTTTGCCGTTTTCTTGTACACTTACATGCATCTGCAGATCACGCACCGCCTGTTCGAACCAAAAATATAACCAAAGCATTAATAGACTAAATAGTATATCATTACCTCCGCCCAACAGAGTTGGGGAGGAGGTTATGTTTTCGGTCTCGTGTGCGTGTGTTTGTGTGCGTGTGTTCGTGTTTTCGCGCAATCGATATTAGCGCGTCAAGTCAGCGAGCCAGCCAGCCAGCGCAGCGAGCCAGCGAGCGTGTACATGTGAGCGAGCAGCAGCAACGAGCGGCTGCTACGAGCGAGTGGGCAGCAAGCCAGCAAGCGTGTACATGTGAGCGAGCAGCAGCAACGAGCGGCTGCTACGAGCGAGCAGCTGCAAGCCAGCAAGTTAGCGTGTACATGTCAGTACGCTGGCATATATCCTGGGTTATTCGTGTGTTCGTGAAGCACAAATACTGGCATACTGGCATACATACTAAAGGCGCGTTTGTTTGGAACAAATCCGTCTGATCAGGATCACTTGATGTGAGGACATGTGTACTGTAGTGTAGATGTGTTACTGAACTAGCACTAAATTTCAACGTTTTTCTTAAGAATTAAATATAACTTATGCATGGGACATAGGCAAATCATACAACGTAACAATTAGCAGCTTGATAAATATGTTGAATATATGCGACTGTGTAGTGTGTGCATGCGTGCATGTCATGAACGTGAGTATATACGAGTATACTAGTATAAGTATAAGTTCACATTATAATATACATAATAACATCAGTCTTACTCTTACTCTTAGTGAGTTTGCCATGCCATGTAGGCACTGTAGTCTAGACTACACTACACTACAGTACACAATGTCAGAGTTCATTAATAACCTCATAACCTCAAAAGTCCTGGGAACTATAACGAAGATGGAGAGAGAAGTAGATCAAGTCGGTAGATCCACACTGCGGATCGCAGCAGAAAAGGTTGTAAATTTGCTATTTACTAAGGATGAAGGCAGTGAATTCCAATACGGAATCACAGAAACAAAGAAGGTAAACTTAAAAGGATCCTTAGAAGTTTGTACATGCCGAAAACAGTGATCACGCTCAGATGAGCGAGTGCAGCGAACAGGCTTCATTAAGCAAGAGGGAATGCCAATTTTCATCTCACCGTGATAAATTTTATAGAAAGTTAGGAGTTTTGAATGAAGAAAGCGAACACGAAGAGGAGGCCATTCAAGGCGAGCCAAAACAACATCAGCACTAGATCATCATAGTTTCTGGAAACCCATCTCGCAGCTTTATGCTGAATGGTGTCCAATTTAGAGCAGTTCTGAAGTCTATAGGGGCACCAGCCTGGCGAGGCATATTCTAATATGGACAGAACCATAGTTTTAAAAGCTAGGGACCGAGTTTTAGAGTCAGCAAACTAAGATTACGCCGTAACATGCCAAAAGAGCGGGACGCTTTCTTACAAATATAGTCAATGTGGCCATTCCAGTGAAGATCGTTACTAATAATAACACCCAAATACTTGTAAGTAGGGGTAAGAGATCGATATTTATGATACAGCAAGTAAGTAAAAGTCAAGGGTAATTTGGAGCGAGTAATGCGAAGAATTTTACATTTTTCTGCATTGAATGACATACCCCATGATGTTGCCCACTTCTCAGTACGAGTAAGGACCCTCTGGAGGGCTAACTGGTCACTCTTATTGTAGATGGTGCGGTACAGTACAGCGTCGTCAGCAAAGAGACGAATAGAAGTAGAAGGGTCAGTTTCGGCCAACAAATCATTTATAAAGGATAAGAACAGCAATGGACAAAGCACAGAACCTTGGGGTATACCCGATGTGACAGCGGCCACATCCGACATGCTGCCGTTTACACAGACAATTTGAGATCTATCCTTCAACAAGAGCCACAGAGTGTCTGGGCTCATCTGAGGTCTGTTGCTACAGTTATAAACGTAACATTGAAGTCGTGCGTAGTGACACCTTTGTTAGGCGCAGATATGCAGATACGCAGTTGCATACACATAATTTCAGCAACCTTCTGCATTCTGCATACCTCCCAAATCCCATTGGTTGATACAAATTGCGTGCCTGAAACTCCTGTTTTATGGGGCATTGTGACCCTAACCCTAACCCTATTTAAAAAATAATAATTTAATTGTTGTAAAAATTATTTGTTGTTATGAAATTGTTGTAAATAAATCATGTAAATATTTCCCCTTAATTAGAAAGAAATAGTTAAATGGATAAAGATAGAAATATACAGAAAACAGGTAAATAATAAAAAATCTGATGGGATTCGATCCAAAGACCTTTGAGCCGTAATCCTGTGCTGTAGCCGTTAGGCTATCGAGGAATATTTGGTTTCCAGATTATGAATGTGCCATGACTGTGACATCATTGAGGCAGTTCAGGAATCCATGTTTAACCCTCCTCTTGAGGGTCAAAACGGTTATCAGCAGCCACTGTACTCCTTGCACGTCAGTGGAAAGCACATTCATGCTCCTTTCAATAGTGAAGATACGTCAATGCACTAAAAAAATTCAGAGAATCCATTTTAACGGGTAGTGTATAGCGAAACCAAAGTGACAAGTTTGAAAATTTAAAAGTCATGAGTGACCCTATCAAGGCATTACTAAAATCGTAGGAAAACTGCATCAACCTGCTGAGAATTTGTTCAAGACTTAATGTGCCAGTCATGAAAACGTGAGCTTAACTGCTAGGTAAGGTACGGAAAAACCCATGTGATGATGGGACAGAGATATATGCCTATCGAAATGGTTTCATAAACAAGAGAGTAGGTATAAGCTCAAAAGTCAATTAATTTAGCAACGAGAAGACAAGATATTTGGCTCTCCCATTCAGGACCGGGAGGCCCCTTTATAACTTGAGTTTTGAGCACTTACCCAAATCAGGACAGGCTAGATATATAATGACTGGACAATTGGGATGTAAGGGGCCACATGCTTATGCATGACATTGCAGGGGCGACGACAAGCATGAGACGACCAACAAATAAGAGACGAGTATATTCTTACGAATGTCTAATAAAATAACTGTACTATGATGTATGTATATCCTATACTCATACTCTACTAAATGATCTGTGGTAGAAATGTCAAAAGGGTATAAAAACACCCGGTGACTAAAAAAAACCGAGATCTTGAGGCAAAAGTAGCGGGCGAGGTTACAGTAACGAAACAGCTACGCAAACACTAACACAAGTACAGTTGGCGGCGTGCGACGCCTGGCAAACTGGGCCACCGTTGGTTTAATTCGTTAGTGAAATCTACGATGATTAACTTAAATCTTAGATGATTGGTTAGAGGAATCAACGAGTGATCAGTGAAGAAATACCAGCGGAGGGAAGGCTGTTGAAAAAATACAAAGGCAATATTGCAGAATGATATTATTGACCTGCAATACTTATATTATTGCTTCAACAACAACTATTACGAAAACAGAGCGCACAAAACAAGGTTTCCTTGGCCCCAAATCCAAGCAGGCACGTCACATATATACCCGCCGCATAAATTGGGTATATATACGCGCGGGTAATACCGTAATATATAATAGTTAACGCCGGTATATATTATACCTCACATATATAAGAAACCCGCATAGTATACCGTTACCACTAATTAATATAACATGGGCGGCGTAGCTACGTGCACAGGGGGGGGGGGCCTGGGGGGCACAGTGCCGCCCCACAAACATTTTCTGTACCCCCCCAGGTGCCCCTCCACTAAAAATTCATGCTTGATAAAAAAAATTTGAATTAAAAACAATGCCGTTAGCCACGAACAGTATATCATAACACATGAGAGAGAAGGGTTCAACCACCAATTCATCAATAAAATTATATCTATTGTGCCCCTCACGAAATGTATTGCACTGGCACACCCCACGGTCCAGATAGCAACTTGATAAAAAAACACAAATATAATACTATTTAATCCTATAAGATGATTATGATATATTAACATGATATCGGAATCTGTATATGAGGAATTTATATATAAATTAACATTGTAATTGCGATATTGTAAATATATAGGAGGACCGCTAGCTTAATTTACGCACCAGCCCGCGGGGCGCAGTACAGGACGCACGATCCGCATACCGATATACGACGCACGCAGGCAGACCGCATACAGACGCAACCGGGCTACACGTGGAGTTCTTTCCGCTTAATGAGATCAAAACTAATTAAGTCAAGACTAGGTACGCGCGATTTATTAAATAATTCGGAGAGGGTTTGTTTTCACATTCTGTGCAACCTGCGGCGTCAGTCGGAATACTTCGTCACCTCTGAGTGTGGCTATTAGTACTAGATGAGTGCCACACGTATAGTGTGACTTTGGTGAGAGACGGATACGAGGTCAGCGTTCTATAGCCACGTTGCGTTTTTTTTTTTTTAGCATATATCGTCAATGGGTAATGACTCATAATAACGATCAATAATGGTCTTATGTCCCGCCAGGGTCCTTCGCCGGAACGATACCCTGGGTACGGTCCGGTAGGCACCGAAAGCGTACCCTGGTAACTGATCTGATTATGGTTATAAACGTTAGGAGTTAGGATTTACGGTTAGGGTTAGGGAGATAGGCGTAGGCGGACATACCCTAGAAACTCGTTAGTGCGCAGTAGGGCCGAGTACGGTCCGGCATATTAGATAGTACCAAGCGTATTAAGAAGGTCTTCCTTAATACGCCTGTGAGTTAGAGTACAATGGAACCCTTCCCGGTATACCGGACCGTAACCGCAGAGTACGTTCCGGGCGCAGTACCCCATGTGGTAGGGACATAGTAAGACCTCTGCAGACTCTCAGCCATAATAACCGGTACTGCTTTCTGGAAGACGCTCGGCGTTGTCACAGGCGTAAAGCGCTCCTAGGCGCGCACACTAGCCCAAGAAACGGTATTGCTAGGGTTAGAATAGCCTATTGTATAGACAATAACGTAGCACACACCTGGTCCGGGCTAGGCGCACACGTGAGCATTATTCTTACGCAACGTAGAAATGACGCATGAGGCATTTGTGAGCATATACACGTGTTCGCAGGGCAGATTGTCCGAGTTGAGTAGTTTGACGCATCGCTCATTTTACTCGCCGTGGTGTCGGGCGGATTCTTCGTTGAGTAATTTGACTCGGTGAAGTTTCTATATTCAGGCCGGTACGGATAGATTATCGGTACCGCATATATTTGGCTAATTATATTGACTAATCGCGGGCGTCAATGAAAACTCAATTATTGACGAAGAGAAGGTAGTCAGCGCTAAGAGCAGGGTCTATAGGTATCCTAGATAAATATTGTATGAAATTAATTTCATCTGTAATTACACCTTCCATGCGCGCGATATCTTTGCTATATGACTAATCGTAGGTCTGCGGGCGTCACAGTCAAACTCACAATATTCAAACCAGAGTATAGTGAATTCAAGCCGGTCACGCGGTGGAGAATCATTTCTGCAATAGATAAGCGCCTCTAGATACCCATCATAGACACATGTCTTGAGCATATACTCTCTGTGAATATTTGAGGTTTATTTGACGCGCGATTAGTCAATTAGTAATTGAGCCAAATATCTCTGCGTAACCGTAATCTCGCCGTACCGGCCTGCAATATAGAGCTACATTTGACTCCATGCCCGCGCACTGACTGCGCATTACTGCGACGTCGCCGGTGGCCGTCATTTTACTTGAGTAAAATAACTCACGTGTGCGCCGGGCTTAATAAAGCAAATATAGCGTAATCATGCATGCGTGAGGTACACATGCGGCAAGTGCACATGCACTTACGTTTCTAACGCCCGATTGCACATATATATCTGCTAGTTTTACTTACTTTGACCTGATAGGCGACGGAGATAGCCTTTTAGACGTATAGCAAGAGTATGAGGGTTCATGCATGTTTTGTTGTAGTTTTTGATTTAGATATCTGTTAGTTAGTTCCAAATCGTTTTGCGGTTCCAAAACAGTGTATTTTCAGTTTCCGTTTTACTTTGTGTGTTGTTTGAGAATTTATTAGCTGCGCATGTTTACCATGCACAAAGTTTTCCATCCCTTCTCTTCAAAGCCGTGCCCACATACAGCCAGTTTGATGGGGGTCTCGAAATGCACTGGCGTTATTTTACTAGGTGAGGGTTGCCATGACACATTATTCAGGTTTATTTGAAAATATGTCGATTTTCTAAATTTCTAGCCAAAGTATTTTTTCCATAAGAGTTGTCTTTTGCTAACTCAGTGACTGACTCCCCAGATGCGATCTTTTTGCAAACAAGATAATTATATATTTTAGAGTCTACTTATTGAAGTCTTAATGAAGTCTTATTCATTGTTTTTGTATTTTTCAGTGATTTTACACTACTAACTGCAATGTCTGAAATGAATCAAGTTGGAAATTTGACTATATTGGTTGAGTGTTGTCTGTCTGACATCTAGAGGATGAGTCAGAACAAGGGTTGTAAGCAATACGTTATCCACTATATATTTCATGAGTTTGTGCAGTCGTAAGCGTGCATCAAGACTGTGTGTTGTAGAGGAGTATTTGAATTGGCTTCATATTGTGGGCCCAAAAATTCTCAACCACCACAAACAGATTGTGGACCGAAAATTGTTTAACCACCACAAACAGATTGTGGACACAAACATTTCTTAGCCACCACAAACAGATTGTGGACAAAAATCTTAGCAACCACAGATTGTTTGTGTAGATTTAGACAGCTAGTTCTAAAAATGATTTTCATAAAATCAAATTGGTACCATTTGGCCTCGTTGTACCCACATAGGACTGGAAGCGACTAAAAACAAAATTTGTTTTTATATACTCTTAATAAGATCAATATAAGACATAATCATTCATTATAAGTATTATTTATAGGATGTCAAGTTTATTTTATGATTTAATTTACATACATAAATATATGTACATGGCATAAATCAAGATACATGGGCACTTTACTGCCTTTTGTATGACATACAGAAAATAACTTCTTTTTTTTTGAATACACAAATTAACAATCTTACATTGACCCATGCCTTAAGGAAAGGGGCACTTGTATTGCCTCTGGTCCCTTGCAAGCAAGCCTACAGAACAAACTACTGTAAACACAACACCCCTTATGAGTGCTTAAAGTTGGGCTTTAATATACAGTAGTAACCCTATGTATAAAAATGGTAGGAAAACTTTGGCTCAATGCATATATAAAAACCATGCAGATCAGATCTATATCAAGTACATTCCACAATGTAATATTTCTCAGAATGGCTTTTAGCGCAGCATATTTCTGTGATAATTTTTAAACGGTTTTTTAAAAGTTAATAAAAATGTCGATGACAATTTAAAATTTAAAACAAGACTGATTTTCATGTCATTTCTGAACAATCAACTTGGAATGGAACTGTATTGGAGAATCAGAAGAGATGTGCTGTTGATTTTGAAATGCACATTGGTCATTCCTGGCTACATACAAGTCGTTGGTATCAGGAACAATTACAGAACCAGTGTGATAAATGTCCCTTATTATCTCACCTGTCATTATATACTATTTAACGACGAATTTGGGACTTTTCAACGAACGCAACAACCGACCGACCAGTATAATAAGAGGAACCGAAATTTGTACACCACAAACTTCACAGTCCTTGTCAAATGACTACAACCCGTGTTTTAGACATCAAAATATGTACTGCGGCCGAGTACGACACAGTTCGTCCTCGGAAGTGCGCTTGTATCTAACCTCCATTGGTCCGATACACACAAAACACTCGCTACCCATAAATCTGTGTGACAGGTTTTTCCTGATGTAAGCATCGGCGCTGTGGCCCACGATATGCTTCACTGTCGTGAAATGGAAGACGTCAGAGTCCATGCTACAGGGGCTGGTGAAGTGCGTCCTCACTACACCAGTAACCATTGCCTTTGACCTCTCGTCAAGGTCGATGACCTCTATGTCGAAACTGTCGCCGTCGTTTTCATCACTAACAAAGCCACTGTCTTCCTCCCTAATCAGAGAGGCGATCTTGTCCTTTTCTTCTACAGCCATGCTGTTGTCCTCCGTAGAGTGAGAAATATGATTAGTCCTATGGGTCTCCATGCAGACTCCCTGTACGCCAAACATGTCATTTTTATCCGTAACCAAGTTTCCCTCAAACGACGAGCCGTCCTTTATGAAGCACAAGCAGGCACTTCCCTTCAGAGTGACCCACCATTCGGAAGGACACGTATTGTATCTTCTCCTGCGTCCCGGCACTACCGTTAAGCTGTTGGCGACGCCGCCGTGCATTCGAAGGCTGTCGGAAGGAAGAGAAGAGCTCAGCATTGTTGTGTTGCCTTTATTGGTTGAACCATCGGTGAATCGAACGGCTCCTGGCACATCGATATCGACTTGCGCTGTTGGCCGTGCGGCCATTTCACTTGCGAGTGCATTTACTCTAGTACCGTGCGGCCAGTGAACTCTGAAACGAATGGGAATGCTTGGTATATTATTTGACCGACTCACAATATGCACGTGTGATTGCAGATTAAATGTGCACGCTGTATTATCTGATGTAAAACGTCAATTCACAAGGGAATGTCTTTCCTGGAGAAGGAACAGAGAGAAGCAAAACAGTTCTATTTTTGACAACTATAAACGAGAAAGCGCGAGTACATTTTTACTCTCTCTTACCAAAGAGAATATATAATAGGGCGTGTAGACGTACTCTGTTAATTGGACTATATATATTTGCACTTGTCTTCGGCGGGTACACGTGTACAGTACTTGCAATGATAAACACGTACATCGAATTCAATACTGTGACAGGCAGTAAAATGTGGCTGTAGTCACAAACGAGTGAACAAGCGAGTATATAAACATATAGCCTTCGCTATATAGATATAGCCTTCGCTATATAGCCTTCGCCATAATAGATTAGGTCCTGGGTCGACTGAGGAGTAGTATGGAGGCGCGGTTATTTTTTTAGCTTTTCATTGGCTAAACGAAACGGGCGCGGGTGCGACCTACATTCACACCCCCTCCTCCCAGAGCGTGCAGTTCGCAGACAGATTAGTACAGTCAGAGGTTGCAGTTAGACGAAGTTACAAAAAGAGAGACAGAGTAAACAAGTTAGTGTTCCTGTCTATCAATCGTGACCAATCTATAACATAATGGTACTATTAGTATTAGACAGAATTCATTCCATCACGGTCACCAGTATAGAAGTATAGAAGTAGAACTAGAAGTCACCATGATCATCACGGCGACCATTCGTCACAAGAAATCGCACACAAAGATCCTTACATACGAAACAATCAACAGTGTTCTATTCTTGACTACAGTGTTACCGGGGACACCACCCAACCCATCCAATGCGACACGATTGCCATGACGGTGGGCTGATGTGTTACAAATCGAAAGACCGAAATATCGCGACGTGTATTGATATTAACTCCTGATATTATGTGGGTACGGTACCGTATACGGTAAGTCGGTATAGTCCCACAGCGTGATCGCGATACACATCGTGCATGCATGCGTACACCCGTAACCCTATAACACTCTTAGTCGCATCCCCTAACCTCTTAGGGATAGTCTACTTAAAACCTACCACTCACTGGAGGTGGAAGCTGCGCAGAATACGTCTCTCAACTCACAACAGTGCAGAACATCCTTTCAATGCCGGAATTTTTCGGAGCCACAAAATGCGAATAATCTAGTAAGCTGCGTCCTCGCGCGCCGTCTGCGCGTGCCCGCGTCAACAATGCAGATATATGCATGGTGCGGTGACCTCTGCGTGCACCGGTCATGATGATTCCAGCGATACGTATGCGATTTACGATGCGAGGGTGACGTGCGGCTGGCAACCCTCCAGTTCACTCACACCAGAGCATATAAATCAACGAAAGACTTAATGTCCAGTCATGAAAAACGTTGATTAACTGGGTAACGGTAGAAAACCCATGTTGATGATGGGACAGGATATCATGCCTATCGAAATGGTTCATAACAGAGGAGTAGGTATATGCTCAAATGCCTTAGAGCAAAGAGAAGTCAAAGATGTTGGGCGATAATTTGACGCAAGGGAAGATCCACCACCTTTATAAACTGGGGTTATAAGAGCCATTTTGCCAATCAAAAGGAAGAGAACCTAGATCGTATAACTAAGTCCTGACAAAACAAATTGTGTAGAGAAGGCCCAAGCTCATGCGCAAAATGATGCAAAATAAAACCAGGCACCTTATCGCCATATCGGGACCAGCACTGCAGCAGCCTTATGTGGGGATATAATATATTCTTACATTCTATAAATACTGTAACTATATGTAATACTAGTATTACTACTACTACTACTTACTAAATGATCTGTGTAGATAATGTTCAAAGGGTATAAAAACACCGTGACCTAAAAAAAACCGAGATCTTGGAGCAAAGTAGCGCAGTTACAAACAAACTTACGCATACACTACACAAGTACCAGTTGGCGGCGACGCTGCAAACTGCGCCACCTGCTGGTTTAATTCGTTAGTAAATCTACGAATGATTACTTAGATGATTGGTTAGAGATCAACGAGTGATCAGTGAAGAATACCAGCGAGGGAAGCTGTTGGAAAAAAACAAGGCAATATTGCAAATGATATTATTACGCTGACAATACTTATATTATTGCTCAACAACAACTATTACGTAAAACAAGGCGCACAAACAAGGTTGTCCTTGGCCCAAATCCAAGCAGCACTCACATATATATACCCGGCATATTGGGTATATATACCCGGGTATATATATATATACCCGGTATATATATACCTCACATATATATACCCGGCACATATATATACCCGGCATATATACCCGTTCACATTGTATATAAGCATGGGGCGTAGCTACGGGGGGGGGCCTGGGGGCGACGTACGTGCCCGCCACAAAATTTTCTGTACCCCCCCAGCCGTTGCCCCTCCACTAAAAATTATGCTTGATAAATAAAAAATTGAATTAAAACAATGCCGTTAGAACAGGTATAATACAAAGTGAAAGAAGGTGTTCGAACGCACATCATTCAATAAAATTATATATGTGCCCCCACGAAAATGGTATGGGCCCCCAGTGCCCCCCCCCCCGCTGAAAAAATCCTAGCTACGCCACTGAGTATTCATACAGATAATTAATATACCATAGAAATCAGTATCTCTATATAATATTATGATTATAACATATATCGAATTGTATATGAGAATTATATATAATTAACATTGTAATTTGTATTGTATATATAGGAGACCTAGCTTGTACGAACAGTAACTATACAGCCCGCGGGGCAGTACAGACCCACAGACGCATACCGATACACGACGCAGACCCATACAGACGCACCGGGCTACCCTGGAGTTTTTTTGCTTTTAAGGAGATCAAACCTATTAATCAAACTAGGTCGCGCATTTATTAAATATTTCGGACAGGGTTTCTTTTACAGTGCACCTGCAGCTCAGTCGGAATATTCGTCCTCGTGGGGTAGCTATATAGTCTAGGATGAGTGCACACGTACGTGTGACTTTGGTGAGAGACGGATCGAGGTCAGCGCTATAGCACGTTTGGCGTTTTTTTTTTAGCATATATCGTAATGGATAATGACTCATAATAACGATCATATGGTCTATGTCCCCCAGGGTCCCTGCTCGGAACGTACCCTGGTAGCGTCGGTATACCGGAACGTACCTGGTAAACTATCTGATATGGTTTATAGGGTTAGGGTTAGGTTTAGGGTTAGGGTTAGGGGATAGGCGTAGGCGACTCCCTAGACTCGTTAGTGAGTATGCGAGCTACGGTCCGGCATATTAGATAGTACCAAAGAGCGTATTAAGAAGGTCTTCTAATACGCTCTTTGATAGTACCATGGAACCTTCCGGTATACCGGACCGTACCGCAGATACGTTCCGGCAGTACCCTGGGACATAGTAAGACCTCTCAGACTCTCAGCCATAATAACCGTACGTGCTTCTGGAGACCTCGCGTTGTCACAGCGTAAAGCCCGGCGCACACTAGCTCACAAGAACGGTATTGCTAGGGTTAGAATACCTATTGTTAATAGACAATCCGTCGCACAGCCTGGTCGGGTAGGGCGCACACGTGAGTTATTTACTCAAGTAAAATGACGCATGAGGCATTTAACTCACGTGTGCGGCAGATTTTCGTTGAGTAATTTGACGCATCGTCATTTTTACTCACGTTGTGCGCGGATTTTCGTTGAGTAATTTGACTCGGGGTTTTCTATATTCAGCCGGTACGGAGAATTACGGTACGCATATATTTGCTAATATATTGACTAATCGCGCGTCAATAAACTCAATATTCACAGAGAGTATAGCTAAGACATGTGTCTATAGTATCTAGAATTTTAGAAATTTAATCATCTGTAATTCACTTCCGCGCGCATATATTTGCTATATTGACTAATCGTGCGTCAATAAACTCAATATTCACAGAGTATATGATTCAAGCCGGTACGGGAGATCATTTGCATAATATATTCTAGATACCTATAGACACATGTCTTAGCTATACTCTCTGTGAATATTGAGTTATTGACGCGCGATTAGTCATATATATAGCAAATATATGCGTACCGTAATCTCCCGTACCGGCCTGAATATAGACACATTTGACTCATGCCGCATGACTGCATTCTGCGGACGCCCGTGGCGTCATTTTACTTGAGTAAAATAACTCACGTGTGCACCGGGCTTAATAAACGCAAATATAGCGTAATGCATGCATGCGTGAGGTACACATGCGCGGCAAGTGCACAT